TGGTACAGCCGCCATTTCAGTCACAGACACTGTGTCGCATTCTTCCTCCGCGACACCCACAGTAAACAAAGACCCGACAGCTAACAAAGCATAATCCATAAACTGAGCGAGTGATGAACGTGGGCCCTCGCGTCTAAGTTTAGACTTAAGCGGTTGATTTATGCCATCGCAGAAAAACTCTATCAATAAACAGTCTGGCAAATCAGAATAGTGAGCGATGGCTAAAAACTCTCGAATATGGTTCTCCAAAGATTGGGGACCCTGTTTAAGGGCTAACAAAATTCTTGCCGTGTCCATACCTGGCCAATCTTCTTTGGAAAAGCCGCTGGATCCTTGTTGGGCTGAGTATTCTGTAACGGGGCTGACGAGACGTGAGACGTGTGGATCCATCTGCAGGCTTTATTAAAGAGACGTGGTAAACAGGCAGGGTCAAACAATGGCAAACAGGTATATGGCGGGCAAAACACAAGAATAGTCCCAGGGCTAGCGTAGGTCACCGATCGGCAGACAGAATCACAGGGGTGAGACGAGAGGGAAAAATCCAGGAAAACAGGCAAAGATCAGAAACCGCGAAAACAGGCAAGGCAAGGCAAAACAAGGAAAACACAGAGACTCGGAATGGGGTACGGGCTAAACAATACTCAGCAGAGAAAGGTGGTAGGAGTGGGTGTTATATAGTGAGTGAGGTGATTAGAAACAGCTGTGTGCAATGAGTGCAATCAGTGCAGTGTGCAAATCATGCAAAGAATGATGGGATATGTAGTCCGGGGTGCTATGCAACAGTTTGTGTTGTGCGAGAGTCAATGTAATGGAAAGGGTGACCTCTGGTGGTGAATAAACGGAAGTCCATGGACCGAATTCGTGACAATCGGTGATCGGTATTGGCAGATACTGCTTTCTGTGATCGGCCTCAAAAATCCTGATCAGAGCACACCTAATAAACACAGATGCTAAATGCTGCTGCTAATATGCTGCATACGATGCAAACTGCTAACATGACACTTCGTTTAAACTTGTTTATGGTTGCTCATTTTTGTATTCAATTAGGCAGACCAAGCGAATATACACAGCAATATGGATTAAAAGAGCATTCACTTACCTTAAATGTTGATTTCAGCTGTTCTGAAGTGCGCTGCCAAATTGCTACAGCAAACAAAAGCCAGGTATTTGAATATTTAGCAGTGAGCTCATTGGCTACTGATGCAGGAGAAAACCAATCAGATGTGCCATATGATGTCATTAGGTCAGATTGAGTTTGACCTCTCAGACTGTGCCATCTAGAGTTTCATGCCAGAACTCTGTATTTGGATTTTTCCAAATGTAACAAATGACAAATCTTCATATGGAAACAAAATATCAGTTTTACCACAGTTAAAGATGTACTCAATCAGCATCATGCAAATGCAATAGTTTTTACAACTGATTTAGGGTAAATTAACTACAGAAATGGAAAATTAAAGGTGTAGAGTTTATGACAACAATGTTCAATAAATAGTTAATGATGTATTATAACAGGTAATAAATGAACTGATAATTATTTAAAAAATACAAAATAAAAAATAAAATAAGTTACATAGATAGACTAACATAGTGAACAAAAATAATTATATAAAAGATGTGAAAAGAGGCACATTAAAGGGGTCATGAACTGGCTTTTTTTATTTTATATACTGTTTATATTATATTATATTATATATTATATTATATTATATTTATATTATTTTATATATTATACTGTTGTCTGAGGTCCACTTATGACATTTGTGTGGTTATTACATTCAAATACATCAAAATCAATAAGTAATAGGCTATTTTCTACCCTGGTTTTGAGCCCGGCTCGAGAAACACTCGGTTTTTATGGGCGTGCTGCATTGAAGACTTGGAAGTAAACGCCCACTGCTATGATTGGATAACAGTTTTGCATAGCAAACTAACTTTCTCTGTGTCTGTTTGACAAGGTACGTCCTTCATAGTTGGAGCCTTCTGTGACTTTGGTTAGACACAAACACATAATCAGGACGTATCAAGCGATCTCTAAGAAAGCAATAGTGACACATAGTACAAATATTTTTTACTCACATAAATGTGCTGCGCCGTACCTGTCGGATCTAATATAGACGGCATTGCTTTTTAATCTCAGTCTCTCTGTAAATTCAGCGTCGACCTATGTTTTGTTTACAAAGAAATCCGCTGTGAAATGAAGCGAACAAACGCTCAATGTTTTACTCACGTGAGCCGAAACTTCATTAAAAATAAAGTTCAATTGCGCATTCCTAATATTTGAATCCGAAAGAAGGTTATGCAGCGACTGTGTTCTTCCACCACCAGGCACTGCACAATATTTTGCGATCTTCAACGGCATGTTAATTGCTTGGCTGCTCGATCCGGTTTAGCACCACTCATGTTATTGCGCAAATGAGTGGGCGGGGCTACAGAATTAGGCACTGATATTCTTGGAGGCGGTGTTTAACCTATCTATTACGTCATAGGTAGGCACATTCCAGGATCTGGCGTTCGCTGGGCCTGGTGTCAATAAAAGCTTTTATTTCAGTAACAAGGACATTTTCAGTTCTCAAACTTACAGGATATTCTTTTAGTATGACGATCTCTTATATATCAAAATCTCAAGTAAAAGTTAAGATACAGATGTGCATATTATGATTATTATTATTATTCTATAAGAAGCAAATGTACTGTAAACTTATACTCTTTACAAATTCTAAACATCGACAATAAAAATCAGTTTTTTTGCAATTATCTGATTTCAATAATGAAATCTGTCTTCACACATTACACAAATGACACAATCATTATTATGATCCTGTGGGAGAATTTATCAACAGTCACATTCAAGAGGAAAGTAGTTTTCAAAACCACAGTGGTCTAAATGAGATACTGGCAGCAATCCTAACATTATAAAATATTCAACAGGAAATAAATTAATATCTATCCATATCAATAAACAAATAATAGGAAATTATTTTGGTGTGCAAATGAAAAGCAGCTAGTTATGCAAATATAGCTCCCCAAAAGAAGGAGGTGGCATTTGAACCTTAATCTCAAATCCAACATTTGAGAAGCCATCAGCAGCTCAACCAAAGAAGCACTTGAGCACTACATTGCAAATTCAAGTCAAGCTTTGGACACCTGTTCATAAAAATGTTAAAACATTTCTCTCACCAAAAACAAACAAGCAAACATGACTTTTAATTTTCACTGATTGTCCCAGAGAGGCTAATGAACTTCTCAGTAAACACTTGCAATTCATACAGGGTAATTTGAATTATAATAACTAATTAATTACATTTATATAGCACTTTTCTAAGCACTCAAAGTGCTTTACATTGTGAGGGGGGATCTCCTCATCCACCACCAGTGTGCAGCATCCACCTGGATGATGTGATGGCAGCCATAGTGCGCCAGAACACCCACCACACACTAGCTTATTGGTGGAGAGGAGACAGAGTGATGAAGCCAATCAGTAGATATGAGGATTGTTAGGAGGCCATGATGATCAGAGGCCAATGGGCAAATTTGGCCAGGATGCCGAGGTCACACCTCTACTCTGGCCTCACTAGCACCTCTTCCAGCAGCAACCTAGTTTTCCCCAGGAGGTCTCCCATCCAGGTACTGACCAGGCTCAACCCTGCTTAGCTTCAGTGGGCAACCAGATGAGAGCTGCAGAGTGATAGCTGCTGGCAACAGTTAAAATGTTAAACAGTTAAAATGTTTGTCACAGAGACAGGTCACAGTTGAGAGGATCGTCCCATTTACAACATTAAAAGAAGACAAACATTCAGTCACAGGTAGAGTGAGGTTCGATTAGGTGAGATGGATCAAATGGTAACAACTAATATGAAAATTTAAAAAAAAAAAGTGTAAACGGCTTTCAAAATCATCAAACCAATAAGCCAAACGAGTCATTAAAAGTAAAAGTGTGACAAGAACTGTTCAAACATCTTAACTGTTGTAATCCATAAAGGAAGACTTTAATCCAGGGAAATGTTCTAATGAGCTCAGGCTTGTCTGGGTGGGGGATAGGGAGGCCCTCAGGAATAGAGGCACTGAAAGGAGCAGGCGGAAAAGAAGTGGAGGTTACCAGTCCAAATAACAAGCAGTCTGCGCTCTGAAAGGCACAGACAGGCCAATACATCAGCATGCTAGTCATCTAGTGCTGGAACAGATCTCTGCCAAACTAGATTTTAGTCTGGGATCAGGCACTTATCAGCAATATGAAGCAGCCTTGACTGACATAAAGAAAATATTTACTTTCTACAAGAAAAACAAGAAGAGCAAGAAAAAAAAATGAGTGTCTGCATTTGATGACACTGGAAGTCAAAATGACAGCCACATAAATTATGCAGTACCCCACTCACTGTGCTACTGAAAATGTGTTACTCTGTGATAGTGCTAAACACAAACAAACAACTGTCTACGTGGATATGAACTTTGAAATGTACTTCAATTATAGGAATGCACAAGATTTATGGACAATATCAGTGATAGAATTCCACTGTATCTGTAAATACTGAATATTTAGACAGCTGTTGTTGGATAATTGCGGGGCTCTTGTTCAAACATCTTGTTCAAGAGAAAAACAATCAATTTTATTTATAATATCGGCCATTTATTTGTCGGCCATTTATCGGCCAATGTCTCCCATCTGAAAGATTCAAATGGGAGACAGGGATAAAAGGAAGGACGCTCCCTTTAGTGTTGGACCCCATGAGGAGCTAAACCAATCAAAATTAGGTAACGTAACAAAGTGTGAGGCTGACTTCTTAAAAGTGACATCACCTCTATTGCTACTTTTCTTAAAGAAAAGGGGGAAGAAAACAGGTTAGACACAGTCACGTAACACAAAGGTAAACACAAAGCTCTACAAAAGCAAGGCAAATCAACATTCACATCACGACATGATGATATTCCCTATTCAAATTGAGGAATGCTGAGACTAATGTGCCTAACAAGCATTTCGTGTGAATTTAACCTCTCTGTTGTAATCTTCAGGACAATTGTGCACCAGGAGGCTCTCAATGCATTGTAATCAAAAACAGAAGATTGCTCCTCTGATCAGTATTTAATCTGTAAATGGCCTTCTTCAGCAGGTGCATCGACTCTCACGAAGGGTATCATATTGTCTCTGATTTGGTGGGGGAAATGCAGTCATTTCTGGCCCAGTGAGCCAAACCTCTCTTTTTTCCAGCCCCTCCGCATCCTGTGTAATTTGAACCCTCTCCCTGGACGTTGCCGCCGGATGTGACTGTAACCGGAAGATTCTGTTCTCTTTGCCCACGACTCTCCCTGGGTTGCTCCAGTGCCATGTGCATCCACGATGGCACCCCAGCAGGAGCAGAGGCATATTGCACACGGGCACCGTACCACGGCAGTGCTGGGCGGAGAGGATTAGTCCTGATGACAGGGCATTAAATGTGTACAAGTCCTTAGAGCGACTGAGCTGATGCGCTCTCATCCCACAGTTGGACTTCGGTTCAGAGCCGAGAGAAGGTTCACAGGTCTTAAGTGGCTGCCACTCATTAGAGGCCAAGTGTCACACTAGCTTAGCTCCTCTTTTCCTGCCTGTTTCCCTTTCCCAGAGGGTCCCTTCCAAAGCCAGCACTTTTTTGGTCTTCTGATAGTGCTGCTGATACTTTCCACATGCTAGATGCCAATTTTTGATGAGAAACCATCTTAGAAGATTGACAGAAGTCATCATTCCTTACTTGTTCCTCACTGGTTCTCAAGCCAACTAAACATACGTGTCATTTCACCATGAGAAGGACTACGCCAAACAGGATGGAGCATGTGCTCCAAAATTTAGCTATGGTGAGGGAAATCATTCTGAAAACTAGAGTTTGGAAATCAAGGGTTACTGTCCTCCATATATGGTGTGCTTCCTTTAAAAATAAGCCTGAAAGACTAGAAATCATGTGCCGAAAGGAAGATAAAACCAAATGAAAAGAACCTGAGGAGGAGGTTTCTATAAAATTGTTGCCTCAAAAGCCACTGTATACCATTAACATTTAAAATTATAATATTGCCCATATGTGGATTCATTTATGTCAGATTATGTCAGCAAAGTCAAATGTGACTAACAGAGTTCTTTAGGTATTAACTTTTCACATATCTCTCTGCACAGTATCTCGCCTGAATAAACATGCTCTTTTGATTTCTGTTCATGGAAGGCATTGTCAGATCTCATAGATCCCCTTCCTAATTAGTTTTTGTGTTTGCCTCAAACTCTGTTATCTGTTGTGCCTTTATTGTTAAGCCTTTTTTCTCTGTTATAAAGACTGTGGTGCTGTGGTTGCTACAGTTAAATAAATTGTCAATCCTTTGCCCATATTTTCTTCAAATTTCATTCTGACAGTTTAAAAGCAAAGCGGTGCCTTTGTGCGCATCACCTCTTTTAAACCACCTACATCCTTACCTTGTCCTTTTGCCATCTATCTCATTTTGAGCAGACTGGTTTATCTAACTTTCCAGCAAATGCTTGAAATTTAATCCAACTCACATTCTCCCTATGAATGCACACAAGGAAAGACGACAGATATAAATATGGCCCAGAGCTAGGGCTGCACAATTAATCGAATTTCTAACTGCGATTACGATTACGGATGCCACAATTACATAATTGTTCAAAGCGGCAATTCATTGTTCAAAGTCCACTGATCACACATACTTAAGATTAGGGATGCACTCGGCTCTGATACTGCCATTTTCTGCCGGATCACCATAATGTTTTTGTGCAATATATTCCAAGTCTTCTGAAGCCTTTCCATAGTTTAATGTGAGGTACAGATGAATATTAAAGTCGTTAAATTCAAGTTCACATAAATTCTTCTCTCCGCTGCGGCTGTCTGTTCTCCTCCATTCAACATTCAAACTGCGTGTCGCGTTCAGTTACAACAGTCAAGACGAAACTCTCTCCAAGATGATTCAGTTCCAAAACTGTTAAAAGAAAATACTCTATCGCACAGATATAATACACTACACATCAATATCTCTTCCCTTTGTGCTTTGAACTTTTCTATGCGGAGCACTCATTTGTTATTTTTCTTTAAAAAGAAAGTTGTCTATATTTAGTAGATTGTGTTTAACACACAAAACAGTGATGATCTGGTCACCACACTGAGGTATAGAAATTCTACATTGATTAAAAAAAACAAAAAACAGTGGATTGGTATCGGTATCGGCTGATACTCAGAATTGTTGGTATCGGATCGGTTCTGAAAAAAATGGTATCGGTGCATCCCTAGTTATTCTATGCGGAGTGCTGCGAGCGGTGACTCCATGTTGTTTCAAGCGCATCATTCTGCGCACGGGATGTGCATAAGCATATTGTGCCGCTCTGTATTGGAGCCTTTCATGTTATAATACTTTTGCGTAATGAAAGATTGTTAATAGCCTTTCTTGTTCTGTCCTATCTATCATTTGTTGCTGCCTCATTACTGTGCTATACATTTAAAAGAAATGTCTTTTAATTTTATAGTATATATTTATATATAAATATATTTACTTGTTTTTCATGAATATTTTACAACAATACAAAGAGCCATGTTTAACATTTTACCAGATTTAGTCCTACACTTATTCATTTTTATTTTTCCCCACTAAATAATGTTTTTTCACTAAATGTTTAGATTTTATAAAATGATTGTTCACTCATCATTTTGCTAGAGTAACTTTTGCTGCTGAATTATCCACTAACCTAGTTTATAATAGTATTTCTTCACAGATTATGATTATATATTTATATATTGTTATATTTCTGTATAAAGAACTTGTCTATATTTCGTAGATTGTGTTTAACACACAAAACAGTGATGATCAGGTCAACACAGAGGTATAGAAATTCTACATTGATTTAAAAAAAAAAAACTAGTATTGCTAGTATTGGATCGGTATCGGTATTGGCCGATACTCAGAATCTTTGGTATCGGATCGGTTCTGAAGAAATGGTATTGGTGCATCCCTACTTAAGATGTTTTTTTTTTTTTCTTTTAACAGGTTATCTTAAGGGTTTTTCCATTGTTTTAATTTTAGTTTTATTTTAACATTATAATACCATGCAATTTTTTACTTTTTTATTTAAAGATGTAACCAATCCAATGTATAGTTGACATTTGATTCTTAATACTATAGCCCTACCCAGAGTGCAGAACATCCAGTGAAAATAAGATGGGCTCCCACACATGACCGCTGCACTCCAGCTAGCCTGACTTGTCTGGACTGCGTTAGAAGTTACGCTGTCATCTGACTGCACTTCAACATGGAGAATTTTCAATAATGGTGATATGATTTTTAAACACATTTACGATATTTCAATATACATTACCAGTGTTTCCCATACATTGATTTATTTGTGGTGGCTCACCACAATATCAACACTGACTGCCACAAAAAACACTGACTTTTCCAAAAAGCATTGACAATTTGACTTAATTGAATAAACATGAGCACCGCACATTTTAAAATCAAAACACGGTGCGAGTGTTTTATATGAATGTATCTTTGAAGGGAACCAACTGTCTTCAGAAAAGTTTCGATGGCATTTTCATTTATCTGATAAAGTAGCACTGCTTTGTGTACAGGTTTTTGGGGAAACCGCTGTTTCTGCCGCGCCAAAAGTGCCTCCTTCTGACAGAGAATGAATTTGCATTTTCAATTAGCCCATCTCCAACAACTGGTGTTTTTGTTGTTGCTCACTCTTTTTTTCTGTTTTCTGCAGCAACTCCGAGCACTTTTCATATTCTTTATCCTGGCTGAAGCACTTTTGTTTCAACCTAGAAGAATAATCAACCTATTTAATTAGGGCTGTGACGGTCGCCGTGACAACCTTGCCACCGCGGTTGTCTACTGCCACCGGCGGTAGTGCGCGTGACGTCACGCACTCTATAACAAGCATAATACGAAGTTTTGTATACAAGTGTAATAACAGTAATAATAGTAGCGGAACAGTGAACCGTGTCTACACCGGACACGACACCGCTGCGTCGCAACAGGATGAGTCTGTCTAGTGTCTACACAGGACATTTGAACTCTGTGTCAGCACCTCGAGGCAGTTTACTGTCGGGGATTTGTCATGCCTGCCACCGTCACAGCCCTGATATTAATATAAATAAGGTAAGTCTGAGAGTCTTATGTTTATTTGACGATGATTTCACATTTCTTGTTTGTATAAATACAAATAAAAGGTGAACATAAATTGTTTGTACCGTTTTTATTTCTAAAATATAATAAAGTTTAATAGGAGAAGGTTTCATAGACTTGGCAAATTCATTTTTCAGAAGTTTGTAGGTACAGACATCCGTTGTGGGCGTTCTTGGCAGTAATTTGACGAGTTAAATCGGGTGTGTTAGATGAGTGAGAGTGCTGGGCTGCTGCTCCTGGACAGTTTTGAAAACCATTTCAGAGACATGTTCTTAAATGTGACTCATATAAAAGATATTACATGCATGCACAGTTTTAAGGCAGCTTTAATCGCCTTTTTGGTAACTTCATGACTTAACTGACCACGACATTGCATGCACGTAGTTTATTTCG